TTCTGGGCTGCAGGGTTCAAGGGGAGCTCAGGATGGCCTGAAACCCTTCAAAGCCTAAACCCTCAAAGATCCCTAAACCTCAAAAATCCGAAAATCCGAAAAAATCCGAAAATCCGAAAAAATCCGAAAATCCTAAAAACCCTAAACCCCAAGCCCTAACCCCTAAACCTTAAACCCTGCTTCAAAGAACAAGAGACCTTTGGAAGTCGGTTCAGGGCACCAAGCAGTTGGGTTCCTGCTCCCAACCCAGCACCACCTACTTGCTACTTGGAGGGTCAGGGGCAGTTAGTAAGTAGGTTAATAAACGGGGGTATTTGGGTTACTGTATGGGTTTTAGGGGTTATAAGTAACCATACTAAGTCCCCCTGACCCTCCAAGTAGTGCCCCAAAACAGGTCCTCAATTCCTGAGCCCTTGAAGGGGTCTTGGGCTCAGGGCTTGGGGCTCAACCTACATGGGAGTTTCCAATAGCAATGGGAGCTCTTTAGCGAGCAGTGCATTGAGGTGTATGTTGAGGCCCCTCATTTGGGAAACTCCAACACAATGCCCTTGCAAAGTCGGTGTTTGCGATTGCGCTGCCAGGGGAGGCAAACAAGGCGGATATCGAACTCCGCCGGCTTGGGAGGACGAAAGAAGGCGGGGCTTCGGTCTTGTACCATGTATACATGTATGTACGTACCATTACATATGTTGTTGATCCTATAAGTGTTCTGCCCTAAACCCTCAGCCAGGGGATGGGGCTGTCGGGACCTGGCAGGTTGGGGCGCTCCTAAAACTCGAATGTCTGATCTTGGGATTCTGAGTGAGAAGGATCTGAGGCTATGGAGTGTGGTACGTATGTTTTAAGGGGGATACGGTTCTTGTGCATAAGCAACCAGATGTGTATCAGGCATGTTTAAGGGCGATACTAGAGTCCCCAGCATGGAGTGTGATTATTTCCTTGTATCCTCCCTGTTGGGTATAGTTTAGAGAAAAGAATCCAAGTGGTACTGGGCTTCACCATGCTGCTCATGAGGTACCAGGATTCACAGTCACGAACGTTTTTTTTCTTGCGTTTGATGGAATCCATGTTTTGCGAGGGTTTAGGGGCTTTAGAAGGAAGCCACCTCTTGCAGGTTGTGAGGGGTAATATGGAAACTGCCGAGAGATATGAAGGCAATGGAAGGACCATACAACGGGTATGTACGGAATTGAGATGACTGTAGGAGTCCGTATGTTCGAAGTCCCCCAGATGAATCCCTGATCGGACACTTACGCTATGTCAGTGACATTCTGTCATCATTGACTGCCTGTCATACTGTAGGATTTCGGGTTTAGGATTTAGGGTTTGGGTCATGCTGCCAGGAGCCCTCTAAGCTGCATGCGTCAGTGGCGCGTGTTAAGATCCTGTTGACGCACTTACCCTAAACCCCAAACCCTAAATAGCAGTTTCCATTTTCTTTTCCATTATCCCTATATAACCCTATTATCCCTGTATAACCCTATTATCCCTATATAACCCTATAATATTACCCAAATATAAACAAGTCTACTTGTATGCTCCTATGGGACATCCTTGAGTCAGGTCAACACAGGTTCGTAGCGATTGGTCCCAATGAAAGAGCTCCTGTATGTGAGTTTTCAGAAATCGTCGGCCCCAATATAGACTCCAGAATGCAGTAACCCTCATTTACAGGGACCCCCCAACAAGGGACCCTGATTTTCTGGAAACCTCAACTTTGCTGCCATGGTGTGGGAACGGTAGCTTAGGCAATTTCCCTTGGGTATGGTCTAGGGTGAACCTCAGAATCAGGCTCTCCAAGGACTTAGCTGAAGCTGATTCACAACCGCCGAATCAGACCGTGAAGCTCGAACCCCGCAACGGCAAAATTAGCTGTAACGCAGGTTAACGGAAAAGGGGTTGATGCAGGGTTCTCAGTCATTGTTTGATTTTGTCCACAACACGTTCCCCAATAGAATCTCATGTCCAGTAGCCAGGAAAAGTATTGACTAAGCATTGACTTGAGCGCAGGCTGCGCAGGCTTACAGGCGATTCATGATTGGAGAACAGGGGAAAGGATCCCTACAGCGGCCCCTATGTAATCCCCAATAACATTCAATATTTTGGCTTCCATGGCTTTTCCATTTTGATTCCAGTTGGTTATCCATCAGTCGCGGTAGAGAACCCGCATAGAATCCCCTGGCACCCTTCCAAAGTTTCCCCTGGAGGCGATCGGCGTGCCGTCCGTGCGGCTCGAAGATTTCGGAGTCTCCCAGGAGGTGCTGGAGTGCATGCTTTTGAGTTTTTGGGTTGAGAAGGGAGATGTTTAGCATCGAGGGCTTGGGGGTTGAGGGAATGTTTGATTTCTAGAGATGGTGAGGTCTTGATTGTTAAGATTGACCTTCCTGAAGGGTCGCCGAAAAAAAGAGTAACCCACCCATAAGACTACAACAGATGGCATAAAGACTGCAGAGGCGTTCACTTCTTTCGCGACAAAAATCCGCACGAGATTTTGCTTGTAGAAGTTTTGGGATTTTGGAGCACTTCACTTACAAGCTTGGAAAGCACCAAGAGGGTTCCTTGTATACCTATGGTATTATTTTTCCCCCAAAGCCCAGAAACCTAAACCCTAGGGTCAGCCTTTTGTCTTTCAGGGCTTAAGTTGCATCATGGAGCTGCTTTGAGGCAAGAGCCCACTGCCACAGCGGCTTGTGCCGTAGCAGTGTAGATGTGGTAGGTTCCTTACATAGGAGGACCCCAAAGTCCCCTGTTTATAGGGACCCCCCCCACAAAACCACCATATAGGCGTTTGTAAAAATCCCCATGTACGGGTTCACTAAACCCCAATGGATCCTTGCTTTCAGGGTTCAGGGTCTAGGGTATGTAGGGATTATACTATATAAGCTTACACAGGCGTTGTATAGGAATATAGGAATTCAAAAGGTAGGGTTTGGTAGGGGTTCTATAAGATTCCTAAGCCCTTCTTGGGAATCTGAAAAAGGCCTAGGCCCACGGGGTTGATGAGGGTTTCCCCAAATGGGCTACGTGCGGGTTATTTAGGGTTTAGGGTTTAAGCGTTTAGGGTTTCCCCTAAAAGCACCCAACAGTCCCTAATAGAGCGGGCTCCTTGAGGGAGGGTGGCCCTTATCAACCCTTACGAGCCCTCAGCCATTTTCTGACTGAAGAAAGATAAAAGGGAGTATAGGGCCTCTCTTCAGAAGATCCTATCATGCTGGTTTTGAGAATCTCCCAATTGATAACCAGCCGAAGGTTGAAAACACACAAGCAGAAACACTCGCAGACACTTTCGGTGAAGGTTTACGGTTTGGGTTGGGTCATTCCCCCACCCAGTAACTGTCCTTAAAGGGGGCCTTATTAAGGGGTTATTATAATTCCTCTTACCCCTTGTGGTAACTGTTACTGTAAGGGGGAATAACCCAAGGTTTAGGGCTTATAGTTTGGGACAAGTTTGGCGACCTGAGCCGCAGCTGTAGAGGTGCAGTTTCCACGTGAGCTGTATTCCAAACTCCTTAAAGGGGGTTGCATTAGGGAATATATAGGGGACTATTATAGGGAATATTAAGGGGGATACTAGGAGTTTAGACAGTAGCTCATATATGCAAGCACCTCTATAAATCGAGTTGCGATTTCACCTTCCACTTTGTTTTATAAGCGATTCCCCAAGTTGGCCCTAGCAAGCCTATAGATATACATACGCATATGTATATGCAAAAGTACATATGTATGGTTATATGTGTATGAATATCTATACATATATACATACATATGTAGACATGTATAGGCATCCCCGTATGACTGTATATAAGCCTTGACCTGCTACCACAGGTCTTTGCTTCCTGGAATTTCAACGCCTTGAACCTTTCGAAGCAGCTCGACAGCAGGGTTGTCTTGCTGGATGTTAGTTGAGAATGATGAAGGAATGGAAAAGAGCGTCGGAACCATTATGTAATGTAGGGTTTAGGGTTTGCTGTTGTTAAGTAGGCAATGAAGGAATGGCAAAGAAAGTAGAACCTACTGTTTTCTTGGGTTCTGCAGAGGCTTCTGTATGGATCCATTCCTTGACTTCTTAGTGACAACCAGTTAGTTGCGGCCTACTTGACAATTTCTCAGATTGGGGTTTCCAAGAAATTGAGGTCCCGTTTTGCGATCCATATAGTAGGGAGGGTTTAGAGGTGCATCAAAGAACCCCCACTGCTTGGCGCCGACCATATCCTTGGCCTTCCTTGTTTCAAGCACCTCTCATGGATGTCTCTGAAGTACAGAAACTAAAGGAGGTTTAGGGTTTAGGGTGTAGGGGTATTTGGGGACCCTTGACAATGAACATCGGGGCCCCTCTTGTAGTGTAATGTAGTCCCTAATATAGTCTCTAATTAGGAACCCATGTAGGACATATTGACTGTGGGGGAATTTATAGGGGTTATATAGGGGTAATGGAAAAGACGATGGAAACGACTCTGAAGGGCTAGCGCTTAGGGCATATATCTCCCCCCCAAATTGAGAAAGAAACGGAACAGACCATGGAGCAGGAAATGGGAACTGGGATTCTGTGGGGGGATGCATCCGGAGCGAGAGTCGTGTTTCACATGAAGACCGCCAAGGCAGTATTTGACATAAACCCATGGCGGCGGCAGCTGCCAAGACTTCGGCTCTTGAACATGGATCTGCCCAGTTGCTACATGGTGGTTTTCAAACATTTGGGGCCTCTTTATGGTAGTCTTTCATAGTTATTAGTATCATGCATTGGGGTCTGTGTGTTGGGCCCGCTACTCATGGAACCTCCACACGTGAAATCGCTCGAAGTTATGCTGTAGGGCTCGTTGACAGCTTCTAAGAATGGCAGTTGCCAGTGCCATGACCATGATCATTAGGCTCCATCAGAGCTACTTACTTGTTGTTAGTAGGGAATAAGGGAGTATAATCCTCGTATAAGCCCTAGGTTATATTCCTTTATTCCCTACTAACCCCCAGTAAGGCTAATATCCAGAAGTTCTGCTGCCCAGGAACCAGAGAGTGAATCTAGCAGTCTACACCGTCTGCAAGTTCCACGAAGATGGTGAGGGCTTTGTGAACACGGGAGATGAGGCTGAGTCATGTGCACTTGTGCCAGATGTGTTCCTGTCCAACCTGCCTGGTATATGTGTGTAGTAGCTATTGCAGTAGCCGTTCTCATAGTGTAGTGTTGCTATTATTCTTGGTATGCGGCGTTAACATTGACAACAAGGTCATAGTACCAGCTGGTTTCAGCAGAGCAGTAGCCATATGAGGATGAGGTGGATGAGGGTTTCTACTGACGGACCTGCCGTAGTACGGTGGGAGCAGTAGGGAGCAGTAGTTGCATCAAAGAATCTCCTTCGGACTTAGCTTGGACCTTAGACCTTTCACCCTTTGGGATTCCCTTATACTCCTATTATAGGTATCTAGATGGTTAACCCTAAACCCCGAACGCCAAACCCCTACCTAATCCCTATATAACCTTACAATATAGTAGCTTCCATTTTCTTTTCCATTAACCCTTAGTACAGGCCGTAAGTGCCAAGTAGGAATGATCATAAGCCACTTGGTAGTTTCTCAAAATAAGGGGACCCCATTATAGACCCCAAAATACTATAGTCCTTATTATAGGGCCCCCAAAAGGGTACCCCTAATTTTCGGAAACCACCACTTCGTCCAGGTTGGCATGTTTCAGAGGTTTACTACGGCTGTGGAGAAGGAGTATCTGCGGCGCCCTTAGTGAAGGATGCATTAGGAGGACCCCCCCCCCATATAAGAGGACCAAAATATAATCTCTTTTATGCCTTACAATCACTATTGCCGGGTGGGGGGGGGGCTACCTAGAGGATGCAACGTTTGATCCAAAGCAGTTTTTCTGATCACGTCGAATTTTCCAGGCCAGTTCCTTTCCACAGCTTTGCCCACGCTGTGGATGTTCTTCATGCGGTGTCGCAAGCCCAGACAGTGAATGGTGCCCGTGTGGATTTTGAGGCCTGGCGCCCTATTTACACTCATAATGTACCTCATGGCATGCTCGAGCGCTTTGACTAGTCGCAGCCTACCTGATACCTACCCAGACCCCCAAAAGGATCTAAAAATTAGATCCCCTAGAACCCTATGGGAAATTATATAAGGATGATATAGGGGTTATTATGGGTCTATATAGGGGATCTAATTTTTGGATCCTCCCAGGGGTCTGGGTAGCCATATTTGGAAGTTTATGAAAACTTTCTGTAGTCGCCTATGAGGGACCCTAGAATTCTGTTGTGTTGTGTTTGGGACGCTCCAAAACCCTCAAAGTTTTTAACTGGCAAGCAAAATTGAAAATGAATTGGAATGGAATTTGGCACTGTAGTGGTTCATAGGGATTGCAATTTGGGGTCTTGTTTAATTGTAACAGGGTCCGGCGGAATCAGCGTTTAGCGTCGGAAAAACTCCTACAGCTTCTGCAATTCTACAGTACTTGCAAAGGTGTAGGGTGAAATATGAACAAGGTGGCTTGCTCACGTTTACTTCAGGTTGTTTCAGGACTGGAAAAGAGAAAGGAATCACGGCCAAGCGTCTGGGGGTTTGTTTAGGGGCTTAGTTAAGAAAGAGGTATGGATTGTATGCGGCACTAGAAGGATTATGCTGGTAGCATTTTTGCACCATGGCATGCCCTTCAGCATGTTACTTCAAACGCAGTCTGGCGCTACATGTGTTGAGCAAGTCCAAGTTTCAGTGGTTCCAGCAACTGTCGTTAAACCCTAAGCCCTGAAAACTCAAGGGTCATTTTTGGAGCCCAAGCCATACATCTACAACGGTTTCCCAAATTAGGGGTTACCATTTTGGGGGTTCCTATAATAAGGACTATAGCATTTTGGGGCGTAAATTTTGGTCCCCTTACTTTGGGGTAACTGCCATATAATTGTATTAGTTCTGTACTACATTGCTACACAGCCGTCTTGTATACCATGTCTGTAACCCAAAACCCTAAGCCTCACTCACCCTCTTGCGCAGCCCTAGGTCTCGAGTTCTCCGAAGCATCGCTTCTGGCAGCTTCCTTTCAGAGCTGGAAGAGCTTTTGCCTCAGATTTAAGCTCTGGGTTGCTGTTGAGGAACTTAACGTAAATTACTATAGTAATGGAACCTTATAACTTACTGTATATAGTCCCTTTAAGTAGATAGAATCTGCGGTACATGGAGATCTTATTATAGTATACCCAAAGCCATATTCAATCTACTTAAGGGGGACCATACCCGTATTATGGTAACTTAGTTTCAGCTCCTTACCAGCGAACCAGACTAAGGAAATTTCATGTGGGTAGTTTCCGAGATAGAAGCCTTACAAGCCCCTTATATAGTCCCCAGACCCCCAAAGGGATCTAAAGATTAGATCCCCTAGAACCATATGGGAAATTATATAAGGACTATATAGGGGTTATAATGGGTCTATATATGGAATCTAATTTTCAGATCCTCCCAGGGGTCTGGGTAAGCCTTCTATCAGCCTTATGTAGGGGTGCTCACCTTGTAACTACCGACCTGAAAACTCCCTTAATCAGACGGTCAAGCAGAAGCACAGGGCCCTTTAAGGGGTTTATATGGTTGATGCTGGTCTTCATAGGGTCCATTGTGGGTGGTGGGCTAGGGTCTGAACTGCTGCAGCTTGATGATGGTGATGATGGTGATGATGGTGATGATGATGATGACGATGATGACGATGCTTTACATGTAGGGTTCAGGCTATGCTGAACCCTCAGGGTCCAAGTACTTAATAATCAGATACTTACCCAAAAACCCGTACTACAAATACTATTACCAAAATCCCAAGTACCTAATTATTGGGTACGTGGACCCTTAGGGGAAAGTCATCTGGATGAACATCTGGGAAGTGTTCAGCGCCGTCGAAGGCTGACCAGCCTGAGAGGAGACGAACTTTGAAAAGGTAGGAGCCATTCTCTCCACCCCATCTAGGTATCTCTTGGGTTGGGCTCCCACCCACTAATAGTGGTATACGAGGAATATATAAGGACCTTAACTTAATGACCTTTACCTCTTGTGGTCACTATTAGTGGGTGGGGGCCCAACCTAAGGTATCTCGATGCAGCCCAGGGTGCACGGACACTTCCGGCTCCCTCAGCCTTACCCGAAACCCCCCAAACCCTGAGACAGCTTTCTGAATCTGAATCTTGGCCTAGTTACCCTACGCTTAGGTTTTCACTTCTCATCTCTGCCATTGGCCACGATATTGGCCATCCGGGCGTCAATAACGGCCCCTTGGCATTGCGTTTGCAGCCAGCTGCGTGTCCACTGCCTCTGCGGTAGCTGAGGTGCTGCCCAGAAGCCTAATCTTTTACGCTATGCAAAAGAAGGACCTATGATTCTCGAGATTTTGAGGGTGCCGAAGTCTGGGTGTGTGTGCAGTTTTTGTTCCTAAGCTGTGCGTAGACTACCCGAGCGGGAATACATGGCACCATACTTCATCTTAGCACAAATCCGCTCCTGACAAGGCAACGTAAAAATTTGAATCCGAGTTCCATGCTGGGGCCCAGATTCTCAACACTTGGGCAGAATGGAAGGAACTTGCACATGTAATGACCCAGTCAATGCCTGAGACACCCTAAATACCTAAGTTCTAAGAGCTTACCAGGCTTACACCTTAACGACTCATCAAGGGTTAGCAGGAGGAACAAGAGGGGACCCCTAATCCTGTCACCCCATATGCCCCATCTATCGGGCGTAAATAAACCCCTCATGTAAGTAGGTGCTCGCCATGCTGACCCCATAAGCCACAAAGGGTCCGCAGTAAGGGTCCCCCCGAAAGACCTAAATCCTAAACCCCTAAATCCCGAAGTAGTCGTTCCATTCTCCTTTTTACGGTCCCTATATAATCCTTAGATAGTCGCCACATACTAGTTTCTGTCCTAAACCCTAAACCCATAGTACATCCTTCCTAACCCTAAACCCTAAACCCCAAACCCTATATAATCCGTATATTTCCTCCCTAAAGCCCCTGGAAAGCCAGGTTTCCTCTCCGAAGTGGGACACGAGTTGGCAATGCAGTACAACGACCGTTCTCCCTTGGAGAACATGTGGGCAACTCAGGTCACCATGGGCCTCTATCATGGGTGATAACTAGGGTTTAGGGTTTAGGGTGTAGGGTGTAGGGTGCAGGGTAGGGAATCCCTACCTGTTTCAAGTAGGGATTTACTACCGTCATGGTTGGGTCCTACTTGTAAAGTACCCCACGGGCCTCCATATAGACCCATGATTTGCTTCCCAGAACCCCAAAGGGATCTAAAAATTAGATCCCCTAGAACCATATGGGAAATTATATATAGACTATATAGGGGTTATAATGGGTCTATGTAGGGGATCTAATTTTTAGATCCTCCCAGGGGTTTGGGTTGTGAGCTGAGGCATTGTGCAAAGCTGTACACGATCACCAGCAAGCAGGAGACAAATGTGTGCCGCCCAGTTTGTCCAAACCAGTACAGCTCCACATGGGCGGTTGTCAAAATTATGGTCCCTCTTGGGTACCCTAAATATTAGGTGCCGAATTATAATGGGGATCCAAAAGGGACCATAATTTTGACAACCACCCACATGGAGGCTTTGCGCGCCCAGAAAATTACTCAACATACAGTAACAATCCCCTACGCTGGCCGTATACTGAGAGTGTACCTAGGTCACAGGCAATGTGAATCCTCTAGATCCTCGATGTCCTAGATAGAGCAGCTGCAAAACAGGAGGATCACCTTCACAGTTTCCATTGTGGTGTTCTTCGTGTTTCACTAGAGGTCCACTAGCTTGTGCAATCCCAGGTGAAGCCGTTCCAGTGCTGCGCATCGCATATTCATTATCCGTAATTTCCCTAAGCAATGGTCAACCGAGCATAGTTCAGGGATTTGCCACTCCAGATCAGAATGCTAGACACTAAATCGTGAACCCTAAACCCTAAACCCTGGAAGCAGCCTCAAGCAGAGCACGCCTCAGGTTTTCTACCACCTCTCCAAGGACCAGTACAAAGAGGTCCGGAAAAACTGCATCGAAAGCATCCTCCATACCGACATGATGGCTCACCAGGTGCCTGGGGGAAGGTTGAGAGGTTTAGGGTTTAGGGTTTAGGGAGTGATTGTTGGCGGGTTGGGACTTCTATTCATAATGAATTGTCACCAGCATTACCATTAATAAGATCGTTCTTAATGAAACTACTATCATGACTATTCTCAGTACTATTAGTATGATTGTTTCTCGGGTTTCATCCTGCTGCTCCTAATGCAAGTGGTAGGAGCGCCTCTCAGCGTCACAGCTTCATGATTTGAGGAGTGCATGGGGCTTTCTATTTAGAGTTGAGGGTCGCAGGTTACATGGGTTGGGTTGGAACTGTTGGCTGGGTGAGGCTAGGACTGTTGAAACAGACCCGAGCAAGCCTCAGCCAGTCCTTACCTTGATTCAAGTTGACCCATGATTCAAGCATTCCACAACAGGCGATGGTGAAGGACCTTCAAATGCTCTTCCAGATGAACACTGAGGCCCCGTCCTTATTGACAGATGGGTTGCTCTCTCTCTCTCTCTCTCTCTCTCTCTATCATTCTTTTATTACGTATTTGCTAGATTTATGGAAAAGATCACGATTATTCTTATTTTGAGTATCACTTCTGTTCTGTTGGTTGTATAACTGTTCTGTTTCCATCTAAAATCCTAAGCCCAAAGCCCTAAATCCTATATGTATATACACTAAAATCATACAATAAGTATATACATATATATATATCAAGATAATATAATAATGAGAGAGAGAGAGAGAGAGAGATACATATATATTTATTGCTTTTTTCCCCAGTCACTCCTCAGCTCCTCGCCTTGTTGCTCTGGGTTTGGCCACCACGCACTTGGATCTTTTTCCCCGGTTATCCTTGGGTAGGTTAGGATTTAGGGTTTGGGGTTTAGGGTGTAGTCTCCCTTAAGTAGGTAGAATATGGCTTTGGGTATGTTATAATAAGATCCCCATATACCCCAGAGTCTATCTACTTAACGGGGATTATAACCCAACTAGAATCCCATTAGGGCACTTAGGGGACTCATAAGGGACTTGGAGGTACATTACAAAGGTTCCCCCAAGCACGAATAGTGGCCACAAGTGATCAAGGGATACTGGAAGTTATGTAGAGGTCCTATGTATATATATATATATATTCACCTGTGTGTATACTTTGCCTCTGCGCCAAAAGTATTCTGTCAGGGACTGGCCCACGATGTATGTACAATTCCAGTGAACTTATATCCAATGTCGCCATTTTGAAGAAACTCACATGAGCTACTGTCAATATTCGCCTTCTTAAGGGATCCTTAACATAGTCCCTATTCTAGTCCTTAAGAAGGAACCCTTTCCTTTAATTATCTGGGTAATGTTGATTGTAGCTGACATGCATGTTTGCCACAATCATCTGCTGCTATGCGCATGGCCCGCAGCCGCCTAAGTAGCGCAAAGTCATGGTCAGCACAGTACCATCCCGTGATTCACAGCTTCCCCAAACAGCTAAAGCTAGTGAATGCAAATTAAAGGTGCACCTTGCGGAATAGAACAGGGGGGTGAGTGCTAGTGGGATCCGTTGAGGGCCTCCGCATTAGGGCCACACTTCGAACCTTTCGAGCGTTTCGAGCGCTTCGTTTTTGTTATGACATGTGGGCTTTTGTGTTTGGCTGGCGTCAGCCATGCTTCGTGTCCAAGAGAGTTTTTTGCTGTCCTTCAATACCCTAAACCCAACGCTAAGCCCTAAACCCTAAACCCAACCCTAAGCCCTAAACCCTAGAGAATACCGACATGCCCGTGCTTGGAGCGCCGAGGTGTTTACGGCGGAGCCAGAGAGTATCGACCTCAGCAGACACGTGTGAAGGAAATGTACAAGCAAGTTTAGGGTTTAAGGTTTAGGTTTCAGATGTTTTCAGACCTAAATCCCCCCTTAAGTAGATCATATTGAGTTATATTGCGGTTCTATGGGAATAATGGAAAAAATGGAAACTACTATCTCGTAATAGGGTATATATTGGGGTTATAGTCCAAACCCTAAACCCTAAACTAAACCCTAAGTCCTATCTGGCAGCGGCCCACAAAATGAAGCTCAGCGCAAAGAGACGATCGTCAACATTGCGCAGCTGAATCTGTTAAACTGAGCCTGAGGGCCGAGATTTGGGGTTTAGGGTTTAGCGTTGACGGTTTAGGATTTAGGGTTCAGGGTTTAGTGTTTGATCCAAGATAACAAGTACAGTTTCCATCCAATTTTCCATTTCCTTCGCCATTTGATTCTCCATCATTTTTGGTGATATCCCTGAACCCTATGTAAACCGATAGAATCTCAATCAGAGGTCTGTATACCCCCCCATGTAACGCAATACAATGTATAGCCCTAGAAAGCACTATATGTGTCCTATGCATTCGAAACCCTGAGCCCTAATGCCAAGGTGATGACAAAGGTCAGATGATGATAAGCCCAGCAGAGATCGAGATCTTCTCGGATAACGACACGAAGACCAAGGCTACTTGCCGAGGGTCCCTTTCAGGGGGGTTTTAGGGTTTAGGGTGTAGGCTTTAGACTTTAGGGCTCTGGGGGACACATAGGGTTTGGAATTCAGGGTTTAGACTTTAGGAGGATTGCCCCAAATAATGGAGAAACAAATACAAAACAGAACACGAGCAATGAAATGGAGGTTGTTGTTAAGTAGAATTTTTAAGGGTTCATGGCTAGGTAGGGCGAAGCACAAGGTTAGCCAGGTATTATTATCCTACGGTCTCTTAGAACTTAGAACTGCTATTATGATGACATTCGTGTTTCTTAATATACCGACCTACAAAGGGCTTCTTTCGACCCCCTTAGTCAATTGGTCCGGGTGCAGTCTAGGCATGGCAAATCTCTGCACTGGACTGCTGACGGTCTCCCAGCCAAGACTAGCACATCTCTCCCAACATAAGGCAAATCCCGAAATCCTGAGGCACACCCTGAACCCTAAACCCTAACCCCCAGCTCTAGATCCCAAACTTTGAGCCCTGAAGCGCAAACCCAAGCTCAAAATCGTAACCCAAAGCCCCAATTAACCGGGAACTCTAATGCCTAAGTCCTATCGCCCCTTGAAATCCCTGGCATGCCCCATCTTCATTTCATGTCCCATTTTCTTTCCATTTTTTGTACGGCCATGCATGCCAGTTCCAGGTGTTGAACTGCGTGCTGCACTCGGCGGATGTTTCCAATCCCTGCCGGGGTTGGGAAGTCACTCACGCAGCGCGCTGAGACGTAGGGTGGAACGTTTGAGGCTTTAGGGTTCAGAGATTAGGGTTTATAGGCTTAAGAGTTTCGGATTTTGGGCTGAGAGTCTAGAAATTTAGTTCGGGGTCAGGCTTCTGGGATTTTAGGTTTTAGGGTTCCAGGTTTGGGATTTCAGGCTTTTAGGGTTGGGTTCACTATTTTTCGGGGCTGGTTGTGGGAGGGCTTCCAAAGGCCATGTGAGCATTGTCATTATCATGGACGCCCCTTCGGACCTTCAACGCGGGATTTACGACCCTGATTAGTCACAGTGAGTTTTGAGTAGCTACTTTAAGATATGACCAGATATCCCCTCACACTCAAAGTAAGCTGTGATCCCTCAATAGCAACTCAGCGGAGCCGGCTATATGGGCTCGGTTGACTTAGTCCGATGGTTCCAAGAATCATCCTTTCTGAATCCGAGAGTGTTCCGAAACTTCTTCCGCCGGCTTCTTCTTCCACTGCTGCTCCTGCAGCTATGCTGTTGATGATGATGGTTCTTTTTGCGACTTCTCCTTCTCCCCCTCCTGCTGAGATGTACACTGAAGCCAAGACCCTGCAATCCTAAACCCCAGTGCCTCAACCTACATGCATATTTCCAAAAATAGCAGTCCGCTGGCAATACCCAAGAAGTACCAGAATCCTTCTAACAGTGACTATCCCACAGGGACTGCATTTTTTCCGTGGGCCCTAAACCCTAAATCCTAAATCCTGAACCCTAAACACCAAATCTCAGCCTCTTTTTCCAAGGCCTGGGCAATGGTCTGCCTGGAAGAATTCTTCGCCCAGGGAGATCAGGAGAAGGTCCTCGGTATCCCTGCTGGGGCCCTGGGTGCAGCTGTGAACTTCCCATGAAAAGGTTGAAGGGGAGATCTATGGGAATTGTTTTGGGGTCTGAATGGTGCATTTGAGGACTTACAAGATGCGCAGTTTGTTCGGAATCAGTGTTGGCCTTTTGATGCTGATTGGAAGTGTGTATGTACCTGAAGAGGCATGGCCGAAGCGGTTGGACTTTCATTTACGTCATTGTTTTCTGTCTTACTGGTGCTTAACGGGGGGAGGGAATGGGTTTAGAGTTATAGTCCCCCTTACGTAGATAGAATGTGGGGTATATGAAGTATAATATACCCAAAGCCATATTCTATCTACGTACTTAGTTGCTGGCTTGATGGCATGGACCGCTCAAGTTGCGCCATCGTGTTCTGAACGGGTTTATGGTTTAGGGTCATCTTTTCAAATTCATTTAGGTTTTTATTTTGACTGAAGCCAAGAGCACGATCAGATTGGCACGGTTGCAAATTATGTATGAAGTTCAGGGGACCGTGGCAATCACCTCCCTTAATCTTACTCTGGACCCATCACCACCCAACATTCCACAATCTTGGGAAGATTCTTTTTCAGTGGGGTGCGGGGTTGCATTTGTACGAAGAAGGGATGGGACAAGAAACCTGTACTTCCTATATGATCCCTATACAAGATACTCCCTAAACCCTAAACCGATGGCTGCAAGACCTTGGGCCCGGGTTTCTGGCTGGTCATGGAGTCAAAGTCGGAGTTTCTTCAAACCAGTGGTACTCTTTAGAGTTTAGGTTTATGGTTTAGGGTTTAAGGTCTAGGGTTTATGGTTTAGGGTTAAGGGTTTAATCGTGGTTTAGGGATTAGAGGTTTAGGGTTTAAAGTTTAGGGTTTATGGTTTAGGGTTTAGGGTACCCTTAAGGTTTCAAAGGGGTGCTGTCGGGATGTATAGGGTTTAAGGTTTAGGGCTTCTCAGAACAAGCCCTAAAGCCTGAACCCTAAGCCCAAGGGGGCCTGTAGGGTTTCGAGTTCAGGGACAGGCGGACTATAGGGCGTGGGGCATGATGTATAGAAACTCAGTGCTTTTGCAGAGTGATAGCACCCATGAGAGTGGCTGACATCACGACTCTTTATCAGTCCGATTATATTTAGAGGTTCCTGGGTTGTCATATTTACTGAAAGGTCAGGGGTAGTTCGTAGGGTCATTAGTCCATGCGCGGCCCTGTCTTCAGGTTCAGTTCCTCAATGACCTGGACAAACTCACCTAAACCCTAAACCCTAAACCCCTGTCTTCAGGTTCAGTTCCTCAATGACCGGGACAAACTCAACAAACCGAATTCACAGATTGGCTTCATTGAGCAACGGGCCCGGCTTCGGCTTTGAAGGGCCTTAGATTGGGTACTGCCCCCACCCAGTAACAGTCTATATTAGGGGTCCTATAAAGGGCTATACATAACCATATTATNNTGAGGGGGGGCAGTACCCAAGTCTTAGAATTTTTACCCAATGGTTCAGGGTAATTTTATCCTTACTTAGGGGGATACGAGGGTTTATGTAGGGTTTATGTTGGTCATACGGAGGCCTATAGGCTCAGCACAAAATTTCATGGGGGTGACAATACTTCCTGAGATCTTCAGGAGTCTTCAGGTTACAACTTCTAGTGTGGCCGGGAAGAGCAGATATTCATGGGAGTTTCCTTGAACTAGGGGTACCTTCTGGAGGTCCCAATAATAAGGCTTATAATTTGGGTACTGCCCCCCCTCAGTAACAGTTGGATAATAAGTATAATATGGTTATATATAGCACTTAATAGGACCCCTAATGTAGACTGTTGCTGGGTGGGGGCAGTACCCAAGTTATAATATATCGGCGTCGCCCTATTTATGGAAACTCGGCACACCGCGGCCGGCCTCCTGGCTTCTTTCTCTGAAGCACCACCCCTCAGCCCAAACTCTAGATGGTAGTCTCCATAACTGGGGGAACCGCAATATAGACCCCAATATACTATAATCCTTATTATGGGCGCTCCCAAAATGGCACCCCTAATTTTTTTGACATTTTTGGAAGCCCCTAGATGAGTCCACAACATCGTCTCCTGCGCAAGTAGATTCTTCTCAGACGCCCACTGAAGTGCATCTTCGGAGCAAAACTGTAGGGGATAACGGGAGCAAGACTGCTCCCCCTAAAATCCCCAATCAGCTTTTGGTGTCTGCGTGTGTCTACGCCTCCCAGCAGATTGGGTGTGTAGAGCCAAGACAACTGCCTAGATCCTGAACCCCAGAAACTACTTGGTAGTTTCCCCAAATAGGGAGACCCCAACATAGACCCCAAAATACTATAGTCCTTATGATTGGGACCCCTAAAAAGGTACCCCTAATTTTGGGAAACTACCACTTTGTGTGGTAAAAGCAGCTTGATGTTGATCCTGAGCCTCACCAGGGTTAAGGCCTTTTTGTGGAATACGATAGGTGTTAGGGTTTAGGGTTTAGGGTTTAGGGTTTAGGGTGTTAGGGTACTGCCATAGGGGTAACGTTGGGGTTATATTGGGATAATAGAAAATAAAGTGGAAACTACTATTTAGGTTCAGGGGGACTTTGTTTATATATTGGGGTTATCGTCCCCCTGATGTAGCTAGAATATGGCTTTAGGTATATTATACTCATATTTTAAGAAGATCCCCATATACCTCCATATTCTATCTACTTAAGGGGGACCATAGTTGTGAGGCTTTAGGTTAAGGGTGACTTTTTTGTTTTGGGTTTTAGCTGGTTTTGGGAAGTAGGTAGCCTCATCAAAGAGAAAATGGGCGCTTGTAATAACCCTAAACCCTAAACCGTTAACAGTCGAGGATCAAGCGACTCACGGCTCTTTGCCCCGGAGTATAATGGGGTTACATATGGGGTTTATAAGGGGATTATATGGACTATAATGGGGTTACATGTAGGGTTTATAAGGGGATTATAGGGACTATAATGGGGTTACATATAGGGTTTATAAGGGGATTATAGGGACTATAATTGGGTTACATATAGGGTTTATAAGG